CTGGAAAGTTGATGGAACAGCTCATTCTGGAGGTCATTTCCAAGCAAGCTGAGGGAAAGTAAGTTATCAGGAATTGTCTACATGCATTCACCAAGAAGAAATCATGCTTGACCAATCTGACAGCTTTCTATGATGGCATGACCAAGTGGGTAGATGAGGGTAGTCATCAGTGGCGCTGAGTCTAGTTGGAGGCCTGTAACTAGTGGTGTCCCCCAGGGGTCAGTACTGGGCCCAGTCTTGTTCAACTTCTTCATCAATGACCTGAGTGAAGGGACAGACTGTACCTTCAGCAAGTCGGCTGACGATAAAAAACTGGGAGGAGTGGCAGATACACCAGCAGGCTGGGACAGGCTGGAGAGTTGGGCAGAGAGGAACCTGATGAAATTCAACAAGGGCAAGTGCAAGGTCCTTCACCTGGGGAGGAACAACCCCATGCACCAGTACAGGCTTGGGGCGGACCTGCTGGAGAGCAGCTCTGTGGAAAGGGACCTGGGTGTCCTGGTGGACGACAAGTTGACCACGAGCCAGCAGTGTGCCCTGGCTGCCAGGAAGGCCAATGGGATCCTGGGGTGCAGCCTACTCAAGCTGACCCTGCTTTCTTCCAAAATTAAAAAAAAACAATATTAATAAAACACTTTTGCACATTTACAGTACTAACAAAGTCCAGCATTTATAAACCCACTTGAAACATCTCCATTTTATTCTGCGTCTATTTAAAAACTGTTATAATTGTAAACAAAGTATTTTTTAAGTGTTCCTCAGTGCAGAGAAGATTATAAATACATGCTCACATGCTTAAAATTTTCAGTCAAGACTTTGACATACTTCACATTTCCAGAGAGAATACTGTCCTACAATATATCCTGAAATAAGGAACATTTCAAATCTATTCCCAACTGCTTGTTGTAGCCAGTCAGGCTGTTTAAGCCTCAGTAAGAACTACTAGAATTTTAAATTTTTAACTTCTAGAATTTTGCATTTTTAAATTTCAGTTAAGGGAACACTCTGGAATCATCAGCTGCTGGACTCAAGGCAGCTTCGTGGACAGCAGATAAGATCCACTAGAAACTGATAACACTTGGAAATTTTGCTCTTCCATCACCACCTAATTACCATTAGCCACTATCCTATAGTGAGGCAGCCATAAGTGAACCAAGAGTATCACGTGTGAATGACTTTGAAAACTACTTTTACAATATACTCTTAGTTGGCCAGGAACCTTCTCCTCCACTACTTTCGCAGCACTGCTAATCACGCTATTCCCTTTGCTCTTTTTCTTTTCTTTCATCCCCCCCCCCACTAAAACTTACCACTGATATTAATTTCTCTTATTAATTTGATATTTTGACATCCTCCTCTTACATCGCCATAAACAAAACAAATCCAGTCCAAACCAGGCCACGTACTAGTTATCAGATCATTTACTTCAATGTTTCACTACTTCTCTTCATTAGTTTGCATCTTTGTAAAGTAGTGCTTGAGGCATGGAATACTGTTTTAGAAGCTCGCATGCGGGAACTTCAATCATGTTTTGAAACCTAAGGTATTACAGAAATATCAGCATTAAATAAAAATCAACCAGTAATAAAAACCTTCAAAATTTCAATTATAATCAGATCATAAAAGTATCCCTGTATGCCACCAGGTGCTCTAGTTAAGAGGCTCTTCAATCAAGGAAGCACAATCTTTATTTTGCCATAGCTGCCTATAAATCCAAAAGGGAGATGTAAACATACATACGCTAGACTAAACAATGGCTAAATAGCAGCCACTATTCACTCTCCCACTCACACATACCATGCAAGTCTGTGGGAAAAACTTACGACTGAAGCTAAGGAACTCAAGTAAAGTTTTCTGAAAATAACCCAGAGCTGACAAGTCAGTAGGAGGGCCTGGATGGTTTCAAGACACAGTTTTTAACTAAGATTTGGACTTCCAACTGGGGTTTTTTTGTGTCTTTTTTTTTAAACTAAGATTTACATCCTATCCTTGGCTAAATTACTTATAAATTAATCAAGTTAATTACTGAGTGGATAAGCGAGACACTGGACAAGATAGAGTGAATGTCAGCCAGCCAATATGGTCTACACTGTTTTAAGCAAACGCATCAGTGCTGGTTTTAACAGAGCCGTAGAGCACAAACACATTACAAGACTTAAAAAATATTTTTTCCAGACACTGAATAATGTGTGCATGTATATTTTGAGATTTTGTTTTTCCAGATTATAACAGAGACTATCAACTGCTGAAAATTACATTTTTGCCAGCATTGATTTTGGTTTTGACACATTGTTTCTTGCACTCAGACAGGCACTGAATTTAGCATCTAAGATTCTGTAAGCATTTATGTCATTTTGCATAAATGGATTGATTGCTCTCAGAAATAATGCTCACGTACTTAAAAATTATGGAAGTCTCATCTGTGTAACACTGAGATCTCCCAGTCAGCAAACTTTGAAAGACAGTTTTGAAACCTCTGGAAATGATAAAATCTACGTGGGTGCACATCTGCATAGCTAACTTGTTGACATTATTTGTCTTCCTAAAGCTGAACAGGGGTACAATAAACAAAGTAGTAATACAGACTTGCACTGAGTAACAGAGAGGGAAGAAAATAAGCTGGGTGAAGTCTGTTTTCACCCAGCTTTACCAACCGTGTTTGAATTCAGCTAAATTCTCTATTTTGTTAAGCACAGGTAAGCATTATGTATATGTACTTCAGATCTTTTTTGGTTACCACTGGCACTGTGTTTAGTATTCACATCCTGGACATGGAGAAGTTTAGAGCATTTTCTATTAACAGTCCCATATTTTCTAAGTTATGTACTGCATATCCCATATTCTGCAAAATATAAAGCCATCACAGATGTGTGTTAAGAACTAGTTCCAAAGTAAAAGGAAATTTTTTAATTAAGGAAACATTGACTTTTATGGTTGCAAATCAGAAGAGCATTTTACTAAATGCTTAGCCTGTAGATTATGGTTCTTTAATTCACAAATTGACTGTACTAGGTCACCTCTGAGTAATGGAAATCTCTGTTTAAACATTTTTTTGGCAATGGGCACAAAGCATTAGATCTCATTTCCAAGACTCACCAGCTGGGTTTTGTCATTAACATTTATTAACAATCTAAGATACGGCTTTCAGCGTCTAATCCTCACTACACAAATGTTTTGTATAGTTCTCTAGAGAGCTTTGGTGTGACAAATTACTGGCACAGATTACAGCCCTGTGGCTATTCACCAGAGGCAATGCAAAATTAACATGGTACTAATCCAATTTAAACAAGAAATTGGTCAAGCTATGCACAATTGCACAAATCATCTGAACCAAAGCAAATCTAGAATTCCTGAAGCAACAGTTTCCAAATTTATATTTAAAACACAGTAAATGTTTTTTGATCAGCTCTGCTTCAACTTTTATTTGGCTCTTTTAAGTCACTTTAATTCTTTATCAATAGACTAAGTATAAGATGAAGCACAGGAGTATAAAAACCACAAGAAATAACTTTGAAAGGGTTTGTTCTGCAGTAGAAAAGTTTTAGGTAGTGTAATTCACTGTACATGCCAACTTACTTCATGGTTCAGACTTTCAGCAAGAGAGTCAGCTGAAACCATCTACATATGTTACTAAATTCATATTGTCAGGTCTACAGTGATGACATTTATAATGAAAGCTTGACAGTGATACACACTAGTGTTAATCTGGCAAAGCAAGAACCTTCTCTTCTTCTACAAGAATTTTTTAAATATGGCAGTAAGAAAAAATAACCTGGACATTTCATGGCTCCTGAAGAAATCTTAATTAGAGAGATAAGATTTATACTCTTCCTTGTATCATCATCAAGCATAGATGTTTCAGAAATTGGAGATGAGAATTCATGACTATCATTAGACAAAAAAGGATCAATCTGAAGACAGCAAATAAAGATGAGTTTTTAATTACGAATAGTGGTTATACACATTCACTCTTTTCAAAGAGAAGTGCAGATTAAAAAAGGCAATTATCAGTTAGGAGAGGGCAAGCTAGCTTCTTACTCTCCAAAAACTGAATACTCTAGCAGTAGGAATGAAGCAGGAACTATAATTCTTAAAAAAACATAACACTTTTCCTCAAACAGGAAGTAGGTGTGAACACAGGTAGCACAAATTTACTAGTAAACTTGAATTCTGAAGCTTTATGTCTCTGTCAAGGTTTGTTCAGCAACAAGGATTAATGATTTACTCATTTGTTTGTCAAAGCCAATGGAAATGCTTGCCATTCTTAAGTACGCTGTTTAGCTAATGTTTATGGTAATTCATGAAAGACAGGTGATGACAAATAACACAGAGGCACATGGATTCAGTGAGGATGAAGCTGCTACTTCTGCATATTTCAACAAAGTATTTTCAAGTCACATGTGTATGACTATATATATCCACTCATACACAAGAGCTCTGTTAAAACACAGCAGTAAAAAAGCATGCCACATTAGTATGACATTATGATTTCCAAATGCAGGAGAAAAGTTTCACTTCTGTTTAAATTTTGTGCAAGTTTACTCTATTTCACAGCATTCAGCAAACCTTAAATCATTATTTATAAAAGCTAAGATTTATTTCTCATCTTTACCCTTCATTCATTTCATAATTAAAATATAGAACAGTGAGGACTATCACTAACCAAGATGGTTGGGATACGAACAAAACATTTTCTCTTGAAGTGCTGACTGAGCACTATCAGGAATTAGATTAATAAAACTTATCTGTTTTGAATCATGCCTGCTTTCAGCTATGCCAACCTTCTTTGCAGACCTGAGCCTTCATCTTTCCTGAATTCAATGCCAAAGTCAAATCAGTTTTGCTGTTCTCATTTTTATAAAAAGCGCAGCTCAGAGCTTTAATTTTGCAAAGACCAACACCAATAAAATGAAAAACCACAGTAGTTAACAGTAATTGTAACTAGGTTCCAACACTACACTAACGTGTTTGTCTCATATGACAAAGGAAAATCTGCATACCTGTTTTAATCTGGCAAGTTCTTTCAAAGCCCTTGTCCACTGCTGTTTGTAGTGGAGCTTTGACTTGGTAGCTGACTCTAACTTTCTTTCAAGTTCAACCTAAAGCAATTAAAATCATATCAGCTGAAGCAATAACAGCAGTAACAATCACTGAAAGATGTATATATACAAAAGGTCTGGTTTAAGAAAAGTGTTTATGTAGTGTAACATACAACATCATCTAAAGCTGTTATATAATTTAACATAAATATTATGGCACATGAACATTTTCTTGTTTAAAATATAGCCTTATTTTTATTGGATAGCTGTCTATACAAAAAGGAAAAGATTAGTTTTTAGCACTAAATTTGCTGACGTAACCTTTAAATTTAAGATTCACAAATTAGCAGCCCTCTCCCCTTTTTCTTTTCCGAAGAAAGATTATAAGTACTAACTTCACAGAAACACTGATGGATAAATCTTGTCTTAAAAGGTATGTAGATTTTTTTTCTCTCCTGTAGCTGATAGAAGATACATATTACACACTTTTCTCTGAAATAGACATCTGTTCAAACCATTCTTTAAAATCCAGGTATCTAGTGTGAATCTCTGATCTTACTAAGCAATATGTTTTAAAAATGTCACACAAAAAAATTCATTGCATTCTGTGCAAAAAGATTCAGTACTAAAAGGCAAATGAAAACAATTATGAAGCACACAGAACACAGTAACCTGAAAAATGACGCTTTCCTAATTAACAACTCTGAGGCAGTGCTATTTTCATTTACAGACAAAAATTATTTATCATTAAATTTGTGAAGATCTTACAGCACTGATTTTTTTTTTAATCTAACAAAAATAGGAAATCTAAAAATATTTAAGCTAAGACTTTAAAAAGACTATAGAGACAGAAACATTTTGAATAATTTGCTTGCATTGTTAGAAGTTATTGAAGCATACATTAACATGCAGACTGGCCATATAACTGTGAGTGCATTTTGTGCCAAGAAGCCTGGTCCAATTTTTTTCAGCTCATTTGGTCAAAAATTTTACTCGAATCTCAATAATTCTAAGCATGAAATGTCCATATTGGTGGTTTTAATTAAGCAAAATATGCTCTATTGAAGGCATGTATGGCTTCTAAGAAATCAATTTATGACAATGATTCCATTCCACTGACAAGTAACACAACCTCTTTTCAGAAATACTTAATAAAAAAACCAGTGCACACAGTGGAATCCCAGTCTAAACTCATCCTCACAAGAAAAATCTTCATCTTTATTTAGTCTTAACAACAGAATGCTCAGAGTCCCCAGCAGAAATCATGATGGTAGCAATTTAAATATACCAGTCAAGTTTTCTCCTGCCTTAGCTTCTAACACTACTGCTTCTTCTAGAGAAATATGGCCACTGTTGGCCTTATTTGTGTCTGACAATTTAAAGTCTGAAGAAATAGTTGAAAGAAGTAAAATAAAATGTACAAATTAACCAGTTTATCATGCAAGATTATTCCACATCTCCCTTATTAGTGAACAGACCACTGTGAGGTTTTTTTAAGACTAGAAAAATCCAAGATACCTTTTCTAAAGTCAGAAGATTTATTTCTGATTGCAGCTGGATTTCTGGTTTGCTACTTTGCTGTTCTTTGTATTGCTGGAACTCCTTCTCCAAAATTTTATGCTTATTTTCTGCTTCATAAAGCTACATTAAAGATACCAAGATACAATGCAAGTTAGCAGAAAAATCCGTTCACATACAAAGAATTAGGTTATAGAACTTAAATTACTCCTTAGTCCCTGGAACAAACATATTACTGTCAATTATCTGATAGAACACAGACACTGAAAGCTACACATTCATAACTAATGATTTCTTGATGATGGCATACAGCAATGTTTTAATAGGAAGAATTTTAAAGAGGATCTTTGCTCAGTACTGGAACGAAAAACAAGTCTGTCCTCATATATGGAGGATCAAGATTTATAAACATTGCTGTTCACATTTCTAAAACGACAGGCAGAAGAAACACAGAAAACAAAACTATTTAGATTTACACATATGTTTTAAAGAAAGCCAGCACTGTTATCTACTATATGAAGTTTTATTACTTACTCAATTTCGCCAGCGTAACTTGTTTAAGAATGTCTGGACAAGGAAACAACTAATACTTGGTACAGCCAAATCATGATTTAGAAGAAAGGCTGAAGTAGAAAGACTTAATGCTATGTACCTCTGCCCGCACTGTGTACTTTCACAGTTTCATGGAGACTTTATAAAAACAGAGCTTTGCTTCTCATCTTAAAATGGCTAATTTGAAAAACATTGCCAATGCACAATTAGTTTGCTACAAAGAAACTAAGCAAGTCAAATGTTTAACAGCTTTTTTCATTATACCATATTAAAAATATTAAGAACTTTTTATAAGACTTTTGCTGAGAGTAGCTTACGTTCTTCTTCTGTTGAATATTATTCAACTACAAATAGCTTAATGTGATGAAGAATGGAACTGATGCATTCCATCACAGAATATGATCCCAAATGCTGCACTTGTCTTTATGTCCAACTAGTTAGCGCCAGTATTTCCATGAATTCTATCCAACTCTTTAGAATACTTGGTGAAAATGCTTCAGATAATTCATTTATGTTTCAAAACCTACAACTTTTGTCTATCAGTACATCAAAATTGTAATTCTTTAGATCTCCTAATTGGGTCGCTTCTGTTTTTCTTCCAAAACTTCACTTTTTGCATCTATTATTTTTACAGAATCAATGTAAGAAAGCAAAGATGCTTCCTAAGGAATCATACAAAAATGTAGTTCACTGTTGTTACTTTTCACATAACTGCAATAGCCAACTTTGACAAAAGACGCTATTATTCACCACCTATCCATGTTTACTGATTTCTTTTCAAAGCAGACATACAGATGTGATGCTGTTGACAAAGACAGTAACAAATTTCTTCAGCTATGAAAAATGCCAGCTCTTCCTAGAGCTTCTACAATAACATTTGATTTCTTTTTCGTTCAAAAACACTTCCAAAAACTGAATTTCTCATGCGACCTCAGGTTGCGGACTGTTAGGGAACTGCACACGCCATACAAATAAAGCACAACTTCCTTATTCAGGAAGCAGAGTGTTCTTCAAGGTGGATGCACGTTCTTCAGTTCTGGACTGATAGAGCATTGGTAGCTGCCAACAACACAACAATGATGCAGAAGTGATCCGCTTATCACTTTGAAGTGGATAGCATTCTGTAGTTTGAAACTGCACATCTCAGTTTAATGATTGTTCAGCAAAACAGCCAAGATAAGCATCTTCTAGATTAGCAGCATTTTTTGTGTAAACTATATTTCAAAAGTTCACTGTATTGACGTTAACTTACGTTGACATGAAAGAAGTAGGTTAATACCAGTGTTCAATATTAAACTGAAAAAACCACAAAAACCCAGCACAACTCTTCCTAACACAGATGTATGCCTTTGGCTGATACGGTTCTTCAGATGGTCAAAGCTATTGTGGGATTATCACAGTCACGTATCAGACATGAAAAGCACCAAAGCAAGTAATCCATCTACATAAACTAAGTACTTTGAAAAACACTTCAGCATTACTAAGACTTAATCTGCTTGACAACAGATTAAGTGTCTAATGTTGTAATTGCTCAAAAAAGCTAATACTAACTCAAAATTTTACAGGATGCTTTACCAGTCAAGAAAAATAGCTAGACTAGTCTTGTCATAAGTTCAAAAGCTAGCTTACAGGACAAAAGAATGCGGTCTAAATTTTCTCAGTTTAATTAAATTACTACTTTCAGAACAGAAGATCACAATATCAATATAATTCCCCCTCCCATCCCCATAAGTACAACAGAAATACTCTCTTGCAACGGAAGAATAAAACAAGCTGCGTAGTCAAGCTACCTAGACATTTTGCTAGATATTAACTACTAACAAATTATTAAATTACTGGAATGTATACTGCTGTTCAGGTTCTACATGTAATAGATGCTTATAATCGCAGTTTCATCTTCAATGTCAAAAAACCCATAACCGTGCACTGCAAACTTACTACTAGTGAATAGGGCTGACAGAGGTGGATCCCAGAATGTAACTCACCTAACAACAGAGATAAAATATTTATTGCAAAGTTGGCAGAATGCGCTTGCCTCAAAACAACTGTTAACGTGGTATACTTATTTTAGCAAATGCTTACTTCAGTAAATGGTTGAGACAGAAAATTTAAGTGTACTTACCTGCTGCTGTAAGCGCAGCTTGTCTTCATCCAGCTGTTTGATTTTTGACCTTTCTAGCTCAACCTGGTGTGCACATTCTTCTCTGGCGCGCCGCACAGAATCCTGTAGCTCCTGCAGGTTTCGTTCATGTTCTGCTTGCAACTCTTTCTGTACTCTTTGAAGCTTAGAAGTGAGACATATTTATATTAATCCATATGTGCAAGATTTTTATTTTAAAAGTCTTTCTTACAACTGCTACTACTACTCATGACAAAAAAAATTGCTGTTCATTTTAGAAATGAAACAGTAAGAATTCCACTGTTATCTATGTTTGCTAAATACTCTTTTATTGGCTTTCAGTTTGTCTAATGGCCTGCAATTTATATTTGTAGCCCAAATACACTATTCTTGCTTGACTATTGTAAAAAATGGAGCTCTATTGCACTTTCTACACATGATCGCTAAAGACAAATTTTATATCCATCTTCCTAGTACCAACTAAAAAGCTAAATATACCCCTTCACTGCAGAAACAGTGGAGTCACAGCTACAGCCAAGATGCCTTTAGATCAGTAAGACTGCAGTGTTCAAACTGAGCATATTGAGAGAACTTCTTATTGAGTTGAACGGGAAAACAGTCCTTGACATGTTTGAACTTTCCAGAAAGATGTTACTGGCCCAGGTAACTGCTAGCCAAATAGAAACCTCTCCAAACAACGCATTTCTCAAACTGTGTAATTGCTAAATGAACCCTACATCATTTTGTCTAGACACTTTTGGAAACCACTGATCTTTATTACCCCTAAACCCTCAGGTCAGAATCTCACTAAATTTAGAGCAAATTTTGAAACAAATAAGTATCAGATTCGGAATAAATACTTTTACTCAAATTGAAAAAAAATCGGCCAAACCTCATCGCCAGATTGTTTGTATAGATGTTAAAGTCAGACACTATTTACAGCACAAAGTCCATCTTGAGGAGTATAGAGTCTGTGTCCAGAACATGACGCAGGCTCAACCAGCCAGTCCCTGTGCTTGGAGCTTTCTTAACCTTGCCCACAAGCACAGGAAGGATCGGTATGATAAAAAGATTAACCTGAGCTACAGGACAAGAGAGAGAGTTTTTTGGACTGCTAAATCACCACAGCAGTTTACAATTATGAGTCTGTTCTGAAGTACAAAACTAGGCAGTTTATTTTCTTTCTTTCTCTTTTCATATAACTAGCTTCCCTGAGGACTTGCACCCCATTTCTTTCTTCATCTTGGTGGTACTCCATGAGATCTAGAAACAGCGATAACTACTGGTTTCTCCCCCATCTCCTTTAGCCCTGTCACTACAAAAAAATTATGACTTAAGAACTCTATCAAATTGCTGGATGACAAAACCTGGACAATTGCCATTTCTCCAAGCTCTCTTTGTCACTTTCTCCTACTTCAATGGTCAATCTAGCAATTACTGTTTCAAGTAAGGCACACTTGTACAATGTTCACCTGACAGTACTAAACTTAAAATTGAGATATGCTAATGTTTTATAAATGTCTCCACTATTTCTGTTAAGAATAAAAAATTTAAAGTTCTACAATGCTAGCAACCCATTTAAAGGCCATTAAATTTCCATTTCAGTAAAAAAGTGGTTTTAACATAAGATGGCTTAAATTATTAGGGCTCCCCTACATTTCAGTATGAATGTGGTTATTTCAGTTCTTATATGCAGGTCACAACTGTCTCTGTACGAAAACTCAAACTTTATAGAAAGAGCTCATGCAATTGTACCATTTAAAACGACCAAACACTTTTTACCTCTGATTCAGCACTAAAAAGCTGTCGTTCTCGCTTATCCAGATCTCTTAGGGTTTTCTGAAGTTTTTCTTCCAAAACAGTATATTCTGCTACCTAAAAGAACAAAAAGGCCTTTTCTTTCTTGCGATAAAAATAATGTTTGAGGTAGGTGAAGAATTTACTCTTGCTATGATATAAAATCATGACAACTTTTTTTTTTAAATTTACATATAAAATAAGTCTCCAGGTCTCAATGAAGAAACCATGATGGAGAGCCTTTCTCTCTAATGCAATAAAGGCTAACAGGTTACTATGCACAGTTGGGTTGTAGAAGTGCTTTTTGACCATACAAGTGAAAGGCAATTAAAGTTAAAAAGACCCAAAAGAAAGATAGTTAACCTAAAGGAATTCTAGCAAGTATTCTATGACTAAGAGCTACTTTTAATTTTCTGCACTGTTGTAGACTAGATACATGCATACTAGCAGGTGTGAAGACTAATCATAGACCCTTTGCTCCTTGTGATAGTTATGAAATAACTTGTCTAATTTTCTAGCGATATGAGATTTATAATGAGACTTTCAGCAAGTATAAGAATATTTTCTTACCTTTTTCTTCACTAATGCTTCTCTTTCTCTATCTCTTTTCTTCCATTCTTCTGCAAGTGCTTGCATATGGGCCACTTCCTTCTTTTTAAGCTTTTCAAAGCAAAAAAGGAACAAAAACCCCATAACAGAAAACCAAGTCAAAATTGCTGGAAGTGCGATTTTAATGGAGAGAGTACTAATGCTAGTACTAAGCCTTGAAGCAAAAGAATTCAAAAAACTAAGTTTAGTATATTGACTTCTATAACTAAAGGTACGATTCAGATATGGGTAAGAAATCTCTTCCACCGAGTACAAAATGCAAAGTAAGCCCAAGTTTGAGAAAAATATCCTAACAAACAGACACTAGATTCTCAGTATCCTTTAAAGGGAAGTATGCAACTCTAAGAACACCTAGAATGACTTCAAGAGTAGACGCACAGCAATGGATTTTGACTGAGAATAAAGAAAGGTAGTGTTATATTTAACACCAGTAATTTGACTCTTGAGTATCTACTGTACGTCATAAGCAGTTAGGGGAAGTTGTGAAAGGGGTATTCTGTATTCCACTACCTAGCATCTACTTCAGTCACTTAACAGAAAAGAATTAACCTTCTTAAGAGTATGGAAGATGTGTACATCTGAAGTTTTTAGTATTCTATATGAGCAAAATTTATTTCTTATTACAGTGGCAAAGTTTAAGAAAAATGCAGTTAATATTTCTCTCGCCAATTCTGCTAAAGCTTTTCTGGCAGTCATGCAGTTCAGGAAAAAAACAGAAAGAGTAAAAACCTGATTTTCAAAAATGTCCTCTTGCATTTCCTTCCACATTTCTAACTCCAGTGCTGCTTTGTATTCAAGAGTTTCTCTAGGTTCTGGATGGTTTTCTGGGGCACAGTGAGGCTGAGTGTGAGGGACATGCCGCTGTTGACCAGCACCTACACACTGATACAATAACAGTAGATTTTTAACTGGAAACCCATCTTTTCAAGGAAGTGTTCAAGGAAAGAGGGTAAGATTTATATAAAATTTACTTGAGAAGAATCTGACACCAGAACTTCTTGCATTTTCACAAGCCCGTAGTCTTCCAAAGTGATAGCATATGAAAGTTCTGCTATTCTGTTGCCTGACCTATAAACAGCATTAGAATGTCATTTGAAGGAAAACGGTCTTAAAAATACAGAAAGTGAACTGTAAGGCAAGATAGAAAACAGTAGAAGTGCTAAAATGTTCTGTGTAGGCTCAGAGACTCTAAATAGTTGCCTATGTGAGAGCCCAAACATGTTCTCCCATGTATATCGTTTTAACTAAGGGACTGGTTAATATCTCTACAGTAAGCTTTCTGTCTTTAACAGATAACATGTCAGTGGGAACCTATGTAACTAACAGCCTACTATAATCAACACATCCCTCTAACAAGAGAATTATTCAAAATTACACCTTCAGTCTTAAATCTTTCTAACAAATAACCCACTGAATATGGGTATTGCTGCTGATGTCATTCTACGACACTCAATCTATGATACTCAATTTCATTAGTCTTGCTTTTTTAAATGTTAGCAGTAACTTTCTAGTTATTCACAGTATAACGAGTCACTTAGCATATCATGTGTGGTAAGCCATCCTCGGATTACTAACAAAATACTTCTGGAAGCTTCAGCACAGAGAACTGACAACTTTAAATCCACCTATAGGTTAAGTATCTGTCTGCTTTTGTACAGGAAAAAAATGTCTACATAACAAACATTTTAATAAACTAATTTGAAATTGGTTGCAGTTTCTGCTTAAGTAGAACAGTCTACTCATCTCTGGCTGTCTCATAGACAAAATGTAGCAGACAACGGTAGTTATCTGCACAGAAAGATATTCAGACAAGGAATACGCACAAATCATGTAACTGAAAGTTATCACTAGTCTAATGAGAAAGTACTCTGCCGTGCAGACCTTACTTGGTCAGAAACAAAACTATCATTTCAGTTATAACTACTCAATGATGCAAAGGCAATTACATAACCACTTGAAGCCTGGAAGCTGTAGAATGAAGTATCAAGCAATTTGCAACAAAAGACTGAAGAAATTAACCCTAGCTTTAGCTTTCACAGAAATTCTTCTCCAGCAAATATAAAAAGACAACGCTAATTTTTAAAGGTGCCATCTTCTACACAGTTATTTGCCAGGGAAGAAAACCCCAGATATTTGTACTTCACATAAGTTAACATACATTACTACATTAAACGCTTACAACTTTCTGTCAGTCACTGATTAAAAAATAAAACAAGATTCAAGGTAGTGGATCTCAGAAATCTGACTCAAGTCAGTTTAAGGTATCAGTGTAAAAAGAACGTTATACTAACAAGAGCAAAACTAAAAAGGTATCAGCAGAGCAAAATGCAGAGAGACCCAATAACATTTTGAGAATGCCATCTAGTGGCTATTAAGTTCAGTGCAAAACCAGGATTCATTTTAACAAACTTATTATCAGTGAAAGGGTGAACCTTGATGTACAGTGAGGTCATAAAGTAGCTCTCTACAGAATCAGGCCATGCTGGCTTTCACATAAGTTTAAACAAAGTCAGAGATCAATTTTCTGTCAATGCGAGAGGAGGGAGGATATCGATCTTTGTGTCAGTAAGCTTCCTGTGTCTCAAATATAGCAGAGTAGAGGTTTAAAACCAACCTCAGTCGAAATAGCATTTATATTAATTTCTATAGGCATAACCAAGATCGATTATCACACAGAAAAAGATGAGGGTCTAGACATTGATTGCTAGCACAGTTCATATCTGCAACAAGGACGCAGGACAGAAGTGACTGTAAATTCAGTTTCTTCAAATACATAAAAAAGAATGTCACTCCTCTACGCAACTGAACATTTATGTTCATACAGAGTATGAACTAATAACACTTCTCCTTCTGATGTACACAAGCTCAAACACCTGCTACTATCACAGGCTAAATCCTGAAACAGGAAATCTCTCCATTCTACGGATATATCTGTCCTCCTAATTTTCACTGAAGTCAATTGCACCTAAAAGCATACTACGGACAAAGTCCGAATTATTTTCTGGAACATCAGCAGATTTTTGTGATTGTTAAGTAACTTAAAGTGCCTCAATAACATTTTTCCAATTATTTATTTCCTTAATCTGTCTGTGAAGCTCACCCAAGATCTTGATTATATAAAGGTTTATTACGATGACTCTGGTAGTGATAGAAGGTAGCATAATATGCCTGTGGCAATTTAACTTTTAATCTCTTGGTTGCCTGTTCCTACCCCTGTACTACAGTACTCTGCAGCCTGTTGACCTATTCAAAAAAGCAGACAGGAAGAGCTTGCCCTTTTTCAGGGAAATACTAAAACAGTTCTTCAAAACTTGCTACAAAGTAATTTTTTTTAAACAGTTTTACCCTTGTGCTGCTGTGACACTGACTGTTTCGTTGCAAGTCTGACGCCAGCATTGTTCACCTTTACCACCCAAGAACCGGGTTTTTTCCGAAGCAAAAACATTTGAAAGCTGAAGTCTCGCCACCCCTAGAAGTAAGTCTTTAGCTGTTTTATCCTTGTGCCACAATTCAACCAGCAGAGGTAATCTGAAACAAAGAAGTGATTTTAGTGTTAGGCATAAACACAAAAGAGGAAGCATTCCTATTCATTTGGGAGAAGGACCTCTTGTTCTAAAACTAACTTCCCGAATCCGTGACGGTCACAACTGTCAAACAGATGGGTTTACTGCCTCTCACAGAGGAATGAGACTGACTTCGTAAGCTCTCCATCACTTACTTTGGTCAGATTATCATTCCTTTTTTCAATTCTTAAAAAGCACAATGATGTAGCAAAAGCGACTGACGGAGTAAACTTAACAGACCTAGATCATCTATAAACACGTATAAATAAATTTCAGCCGCTGCCACTCACAGCATACATCTCCACCTCTTCTTTCAAAACACCACTATTTTGATGCTTATCTATTCCACATCTCAAATCAGTTATCGAAAGCTGGTGGGACTACTGGGAAAATTGTGCCACAGCCCTCACTGTACTCAGCTTCCTAGGCACCTGCTGTATTTTCATAGATATTGGATAATCACTACGTATTAAAAAGAAAAATAAAAAACGTACATACATTACTTGAAGTCATGTTTTGTTAAAACTATGCTACCAACTTATAATTTAACAACTTACAGCAACAGCACTTGTTTCTGTAAGCAGTGATCCCTGCATAAGGACTCAAGAGATAAAAGCAAGAATTTCAGAGTCCCTGTCTTTAAATGTAAGTAACAGAGAAACTACAGGAGTAGTGTATTAAATATTCATTGCCATTAGCACTTGGATTCTTTACTAAATTCTTAAAATGATGATCTTGAGTTAAATTTGAACTTGTGACTGCATTAACAATGAAAGCTAGAAAAAACATAACTAAGATAAAAAGAATGCAAGTTGTCACCTAAAGAATGTATCTTGAAGCTGATGAGGTACAGTTGCAAAGTCAAATGCGCAGTAGGACTGTGGAAGAAAGACTTCCATGTTCTTTCTGACTTCTACAGGTGGGCTTGTCATAATAGGTGCAGCACTACCGAAAAATGGATACGAGTACCTAATAAAAGCAATAACAAAAATAATTAAATAATAATTACATAGATACTTTTTTCTTATATCTTCTGCAACAAGGAAACCAGTTCGGACATCTTTTACTGAAGCATGAATTGTACTTAAATTAGCAAAATTTGCACAAATATATCCAACAATAGAACTTAGCTCTCAGATATTCATGTGTTTTCATTTACTTCAGCACTGATCCAGTTTCATTTACATTTGCTGTTATTTTGACAAAGAAGCTTTAATAACCTTATGCGTACAACCATACAAATTGATATTTTATTAAAATTCTGCAATTACATAAAATAAGCAGATAAATAGAAGAAAGGATTTTTATATTCAGATGTAGATTGCTACTTGAGAACAGTTATAACTACATCTAAGACTGGCCTAACACAATAATTGATAACTAAGCTTGCATATACGCAGTATCAGAACCATTGAAAATTTCAGTCCTATTTTAAGAATTTAGTTTTTAATTCCCACAGTTTAATTCACTGAAAGGAAAGGCAAATAATTTTACCAGTGCCATTTTCAATGTGGCCTGAAACCATTGGCACAATACAGTGTATGATAAGCTACAAAGGGGAGGCCAAGAACCTCTTGAACTTCGGTTCGCTGAAACTGATGATGTCAGCTCTCAGCTAAGTTACTAATAAAATAAATACTGCATCAAATGCTGCCAGTTATAAAATTCCATACTTAACTGCTTGTGCAAAACTGTTTAAAGAGCTTGTTTAGACCTGAATGAAGTAATGCTTCCAACATACAGTGAAAAAGCAGTTTTTTACCCTGTAACTTTTCTTAACATTTATGAGTTTGAATCATCTTCGGTTTCCTGCCATATTCATTACTGACTGTAAAAACTGAACTGCATGAAACAGCATACTTGTGGTCAACAACCTACTTGTTGTCAGTGTTCTGAAGAAAACTGAGCGCTGGAATGTTATTTGAAAAAGCTTTTACACAACAAAATTCCATCCATTGTACATTGTTTTCCACATACTATTTTATAATATAGCCTATACAGAAAACTTTAAATGACACAATCTATATTAATCGTGTTTTAAATTATTCCCCCCACCCTCCACCCCACCTTTTCACCCTAACTCAAAGCTTAAACCCCCAAAATTATTAACATGAATAGTCTTCCCAGTGACTAGTTAAAACTGTACTGAACCAAACTCTGTAAGAACAACAAATGCAAAAAACATGCAGATGCACCTCCACCTCCACAGCCACAAACGTTCAACCCTTTCAAACCAAATCAACATTTAAAGATATGCTTCATCACGTGCACCAGAAAAGCCTCATAGGAAACTACAAGGCAAGCTGTAAAAATGCTACGAACCACTGAATTCACATATGCCATCAATAACTACTATTGCACAAGTAGGATTATTTTTTTTTAAACAACAAAATCATCCCTGTACCTACAAACTCTTGGGTCTAAACTCCAAGGAAAACCTAAAAAAAAACCCCAAGTTGATAAAATCGTTTCTCTCTTCACTGGCAATGTTAAAAGAACCCACCAAACTTCAACCTGCACACAGATATTGTACCTGTACTGTACTTTCAATACCCTTACTTTTCACTGATCCTGCACCTTTTTAGTTCTTATTCCTCCAGCTTAGCATTCACCTCCCAGCTAACATCTGCTTACACTCCACAAGTGTAACTAACTCCACATCAGTAACTAACTCATACAAGGAATTATTCCAAACTGGCACTGGCAGTTTTCTAATTTTGCTTCAGGCACAAAACTCATATATCCAAAACCCTTGTCTTTTTTGTAACTCCACAGATCAATGTAACAAGAGATGCTACTTCTCCCTAAGCTTTACTTCTTGCATGCAAAAAACTATAAAAAACCCCCTGATACTACATCTCAGAATGATAATGCCTTTACTATCCTGCTTCTTCACTTTAACAGTAGAAGGTGCTTCCTTCAGATTTAGCATCACACAAACCAGGTGATCTGTCTCTTACTAAAACACCACAAGGAGTTCTTGGTGGAGACATGGAAAGCTACAGAAACCACTCCTTTGACCAGCTGGAAAGGCAGCCGGAACATAAGGAGATAAGCAACCCTTCTTTGCCTCTAAGGACTTAATGATGATCTGTATTACCTGAGCACAGACACTCAAGGGAGATTTAATACAAATTACAGTGCAGGTAAAGTGTTACATACTATCTTTAACCCTGTAATGCTCAGAAGTTTCGTGATGAACATTCCAAAGTACTATGCTACTGAAAATCAGCTACATAAAAGGCACCACGCAGCATGCTGCCAGCAGTCATTCAGATTATGAAGGCTTTGTATTAAAAACAAAGGTATTGCTATTACCAAGAATAAGGATGAACAAAAACAAATCATACCTTAAAATGCAATTTATTGGAAAACCAACTTCTAGACCACATATACTTCGCAAGTCTATTGAAAAGCAAAAATGGTGAGAGGCTGCTGGAATGACAATTTTCTGCGCTGACACAGGCTCAGAAGAACTAGATGCACCCACAGGGTTGGGCTGAGATGCAGCTACTGGACCATTACCAGCTGAAAACAAAGAAGAGAATTTGTGCGCTTTTTCAATAACAAAATATATTAAGGATAGGTATCACATTTTAAATGTAAGCACTCTATTGCTAAGTTACTGCTTCCAAAGAAAAAACCAATATACTTTGTGTTCTTAAAAGATTCTGTAATATTTTCCCTTTTGAAATTTATCTTCAAAGCTACGTACATTTACCCCACTCAAGAAAAGTTTAGACTACAATCCAAGATATTAAATTCTTCATAGGGATGCTGAAAGACTTCAGTTTCAACAGTTTACATAATTGTTCCTAGCCAACTTGAGGGCATGCAGAAGAGGTGGGCTTACAAAAAAAAAAAAAAAATCATTTGTAGTAACTTAAGTTTGCTTTGAATTAACTAACCTCCTTAATTTGGGACCGAAAAAGACAGAGTACCAGGTTAAATACAGTGCTCACATAAGGAAGCATCAACTACTGGTCCCAAGCTGAGATTTAACTATTGAAATAAACTGAAATGCTCTAGCTAGGTCTGTAAAGTACATCTGCTTCTGCCCTTTGATCAGAACCCACCTACTGTGACATCCATTTTATAATTTAGGAAGCAGAAGCTACAGCGCTTGCCTGTCCAATTGCATGCAGGCTTCTGAAGTCCTTACACAGGGACCCAATATTGCCTTCAGAGAGTAACAGGTCAAACAAGTTTTACAGACGAGGTCTCCAAACAGTATCCTCCAAAAATTTTTAACATCTTAAAGCAGAGAAAGAGGCAAAGGAACTGTCAGAGAACACTTCAATTGCCTTTTGTAAGTGCTAGTTGTTCTGATCATCTTTCTTCATAATTTTATGAAATATTTCCATTTTTATAATTTTTAAATACATTCATCATTGCTAGCATTGACTTCATTTTTTCCCTGCTTGTTTTTGAATGTTTTATTTATCTTAATAGCAACAATACAAAAAAGAAAAATTCAACATACTTCACCATCAGCTGGTCAGCACAACATAGGAATGAGATAATTTTCAGTCATTAAGGTAAAATGTCGCTACATCGCCTGGTGCAATGAAATGGCAGAATAGAAATTTAAGGCTGTCACAAATAGGAGAATGTAAAATTGCATACAGCCTACTGTTCAAATTCATTTAAGTTGCTACTATATTCAAATTTCATTCAGTGTACTGAAATCAATAAATTTTGCATTACTGGAATTTTGCAGATCTGACAGAGGTGACTTTGCTCTGCTCTGTGATTTGAAAACTGGAAGCTCTTCAGTATGCTGTTTGTTCACCTCTTGGCAAGGCTCAGCCACCAGCCCTGAAAGATAAACATGAGATGACATGTTTTATGTCTTGCCGAAACAGAGTTTTAAAATTATTATTGCTATTAATCAAAAAAAAGCACAATCCTGGATTCCTTAACCACAGACTCAAACTAGTTGCAGGGTTCACAATACTACTTGACACTTTCCATATAAAGGACTTAATCCTTGCTTAGATAAGATCAGTTAGGATTAACAGAAAATTTGGCTGAATTAGTAGGCAAATCCTGAGAGCACATTCTACGACACAGTTTTTCCTCTAAGAACTGGGTGTGTTTAGGACGCATCTCGAGAACAGCAATTCTTGTATCATTAGAAAAATAATCATTTGCATAAATCTCTTCATAAAGATGCATGTTCAGTAATGTTTAGCAAACTAACATTGTATCTTCTGAAATTTACCATTATAATACTTCTTCCTTGCACCTCTGGTCCTCTTCAACTTCCCCCCAACCCAGTCTTCAAACCAAAAACAAAACAAGGGGAGTCATAGAAGGCTATGTGGGCTACCAAGTCCCTACAAAAGGATAATGTAAAACCAAACAAACAAAAAATCCAGTTGCTTAGTTTTGTCCATGAATCTGACCAGTATGAATGTTTGTTTTCACAATTTATTATCCACATAGTGAATTCCTTAGAAATCTTAAAAATACCACGTTTTCCCTGTCTTTTTCTTTAATAAATGTGAACATTAGACCATTTCATCACTGAGCAAGTCAGTTTCTTCATGGGTATTGTACTGAACATTCCAACTGTCAAATCCAAGGAATTCCAAACTTTTCTGGTATTATTTTTCAAGCTTATGACCATCCATATCACTTAAAATCTATACACCAAATCCCCAGTCCGACTCCTCCAAGTGTTTTCAACAACCACCACAATCAGGTTACATTTACTCTCCTGCTGTTACTTGTTTTATGTAAACCATAGAATTGTTTGGGTTGGAAGGGACTTTTAAATGTCATCTAGTCCAACCTCCTGCAACAAGCAGTGACATCTTCCACCAGATTAGGTTGCTCTGAGCCCTGTCCAACCTGGCCTTGAATGTTTCCAGGGATGGGGCATCTACCACCTCTGGGCTTGGCTAAAATTTATCACCACAAATGATTAGGACTTGATCCCAGACCACACTTGACAACTGCGGAAAAAATTACATACCACATACCCGTTTTCTTTAGTTTCGTGCCTTTATCAGACTTAAGACTTTCCACTTCACTTTCTGTTGCTTCGTCTTCTGTTGAAGAGTGGTCAGCCTGAGATGGGACATTCTGGGATCTCTGTTGCTGGCCCTCTGTTTTTCCACTAACAGGTGAAAGAGCTTTCTCCTGTGGCTGTTTAGGTTCAGTTGCAGCATTTAAGGGAATCAAAGGCTGAACGAAGTGATATAGTTTTCTTATTGATCATGGCTTGCACTGAAAAATTCTGTCTACAACATTTCTATAGTTTGAGATTATTTTTTCTGACATAGAAAAATGAACCAATTAAAGGATTATTCCTATAAAGCAACTTATTTCAGATTTTCTTTTTAAACACTTAACTGTCAAATATGACTTAGAAATACCAATTTTTTCTTTAACATGAAACTGTGCAACAGTGTCTAAACCAACAATGAGTAAGCTATACCTGGGCACTCACCCTCTCCCTTTGCAGAATTACAGATACCCCAACAGTAGGAGCCATATCCAAAGGCAGCTGTGGCAGTTTCTGTTTAGCTCTGTTTGGTGGAACAAGGACAAAAGCTCCTTCTATTGCCACAGGGTGCTGATCGATCTCCACACTTCCTTTCCTCAGTAGTCCAGACAGGGGTATTTCAGTGCTTCCAAGAGACTGGTCCCCACAGCAAAGATGGATCTGTATACACGCAAAAGTGCTAGAAAGTAACTGGCATGCACACTTCCGTTTCAACTGTCTGGTCACCCTCTAATAAAGGTAGCATAAATATAACAACAAAATTAAAAAGATCATCCGTAGTCTAGTCCCTGTTCACTGAGAACAAGCCTATGGCTTCTAAACACAGCACAGATTCTTACCCTTAATGCATAAGCACATAAAATGCATAACTGTAAAGAAGAAAAAGTGTTATTTGAAAGCTGAGCCTTTGTGCATATATTTAGACATCGCTTAAACAGCAAGGATCTTTGGAATTAAGGAACTGTGTTCTTAATTGCTAGTAAGAATCCTTATTCTTTTTTCAAAACTTGACTCTTTCTTCCGCAGCTTAGCATTCATACACCTAAGTAAACGATAGATCTCAAAAAACCACCACACTCTAAGGTAATCTATTTTCCCGAGTGAAACTTGTATACCAATGTTCTGGTTCGGCTGCAGCCGGCAAC